TCAGTGTACTTACAGTGAAGAACACACCCCCTGCCCCCTAGTAAAACAACAGCACACAGTTAACCCTTTGATCGCCCCTCACATTAACCCCTTCCTGCCCAGTGCCATTAGTACAGTGTCAGTGCTTTTTTTTTTTAGCACTGATCACTGTATTGGCATCACTGGAGATGTCAGTGACACCAAGTTAGTTCACCCCAGTATCAGAATGTCCACCGCAGTCCCTCCTAAAAGTCACTGATCGCCACCATTACTGGTAGAAAAAAAACCAATCCCATTATCTATACCGCCATTTGTAAACGCTGTAACTTTCACATAAACCAATTAATGTACATATATTGGGATTTTTTTTTTTTTTCCAGCAAAGACATATCTCAGAATACACTTTGGCCTAAATTTATTACAAAATTTGATTTTTTACAATTTTTTTTACTGGACATGTTTAATAGAAAAAAAGTCCAAAATATTGTCGTTTTTTTTTCCTCAAAATTGTTGGTCTTTTTTTTTTTCTTATAGCGCGAAAAATAAAAACCGCACAGGAGATCAAATACCACCGAAAGAAAGCTCAATACATGAGGAAAAAAAAAAAGACATAAATTTCATTTGGGTGCAGTGTTGCATGTCTGTGCAGTTGTCAGTTAAATTAATGCAGCGCCGTAACGTAAAAAATGGCCTGGTCATGAAGGGGCATAAATCCTCAGGAGGGCAAGTGGCTAGCTATAAGCCACATAGGTTTGCTTTTTAGCCTTTTTAAACTTGTTGCCCAAGGGAATATATTTTGCAGTGGTTCACAGTCTTTGAAGAACTCCCATTTCTGTGTTGTGTTCATCAATGCCAATATTCCCTCCCAGTCTAAGGCTTGGAGAGCAGCTCTCAGCCTTGGAAAATTAGCTCTCTTAAAGTTGAGCGTTTATGTTTTTCCCATATGTGCTTGATGTTTACAGCAAACAATAAATAAGCTTTGCATGGTTTGAGATTATCAGGTCCTAGATTATCCTAGTTGAGGCCTCTATGAACTGTACCATATAATTGTCCTGTAGTAGGTTTATAAATTTTTGCCCTTTAACTGTTCCTGCAGTGCCATTACTCCAGTCAATTTCCGGGTAGTTAAAATCCCCGATTATTATCACTGTCCCAGCCTTTTCAATCTGTGCAAGGAGCGGAGTCTCCACCTCCTCATTAACACTGGGAGGCCTATGAAAAAACTCCAATGATTACCTTTGTAGTATGCACCCCCATGTATAGTTCCACCCATAATGCTTTAGCCTCACCACATTGTCCATCAACTAGGTCCTCTTTCACACTCACTCTGAGATCGCTTCTCACATGGAGACAGACACCACCACCTTTCCTATTTACCCTGTCTCTCCGAAAGAGAACATAGCCAGGAATATTAATGGCCCAGTCATGTGAAGAATGAAGCCAAGATTCAGCAATACCAATTAAATCATAGTTCTCTTCATGCACCAAAGCTTCCAACTTGCCTATTTTGCTTGGCAGTCTTCTGGCATTATTGAACAAACACTTTAATTTATTGACACCTTGTGCACATGTATTTTGCGTATTTTTTATTTTCATACAAATGGTACCAATTGCAATGGTTGTTTGTAACATGGGAACCTTCTTAGCTGCCATAGCCCTCTCCCCATCTTTCCCCATTCCACCCACCAATAAGTACTGCCCTTGTCTGATCTGTCTGCCCCATTATAATCTAATTCTCCCTCCCCCCTCGATCCTAGTTTAAATACTCCTCCAGCCTCCCCATATACCTCTCCCCCAGCACAGTAGACCCCCTTCCATTTAGATGCAAACCATCTCTAGCATATAGGTTGCACCCCAATGAAAAGTCAACCCAGTGCTCTAGAAACCCAAATCCTTCCCTCTTACACCAGGTCTTTAGCCATGCATTTAGTTCTCTAATCTCCCCGTCCTTCCTGAGTTGTGCATGGCACAGGTAATATTTCAGTGACTATCACCTTGGAGGTCGTTCCCTTTAACTTGCAGCCTAGTTCTTTAAATTGATTCTTAAGGAGCTTCCACCTTCCATGTATTCTGTCATTGGTTCCAACATGGACCAAGATAACTTGTCATGCCAAGCCCCTCCCAGTAATTTATCAACCCGGTCCACCACATGCCGAACCCTGGCATCAGGGAGATGGCAAACCATTCGGTTGAGGCCATCCTGGCGACAAACTATTCTATTAGTCCTTCTGATTTATAGAATCCCCTACTACCACCAAATGTCTAGGCTTTCCCGCACTATCCTCGCCTCCCCTCCCAGATGGTCTGCTCTCCCACCTGTTAGGGATAGCAGTGACATCAGGAGCTGCCACCCCCACATCTTCATCCAACTTAGCAAATCTGTTTGGGTGCACAATCCCTGGGCCAGCCTTCCTTTCTGTGAGCCCCTACCACACCCTCTCATTACCGTAACCCATCTTCCTATCTTATAATCCTGATTAGCTCCTCCACATCAATACCATTAGCTACTTGCTCAGAGAGCAGAAGACCCCTTTCAAGGTTGTCGGTTCTGCCCAGTGTTGCAACTTGCTCCTCCAGATCTCTAACGTGAGCTTCAGAAGGGCAACCCGCTCACATCTGTCTCAACTTTATCCTTCCTGGAGCTGTTGCTCCATTGTTGCATACATGCGGCACACTGTGCACTGCACAAAACCTTCCACCCTGCTAGCACTCATATCCCAGTTGCAGTATTAATATTACTAATAGGAAATATCAGTTGTCACTTACAGGTTAGTAGACTCCTGTTTTCAACGCTGGTTTTTTAACTCCACTTAATCAAATGTCCACTTGGTCAAAGGTCCAGCAAGCAAAATACAGGCAAGCCCAAGAATGAGCAAGCTCAGAGTGAACTCTATAGAAAGTTATATAGTACCTGTAGCACCTGTGACCAATTACCCCTCCCCTTAATTAGCAGACTGAAGGAAGGCCGGGAAAGGAAGAAAACAATTCTATTTAAAAAAGTAAAAGCTTCTAGCAAGACTCAAAAAAGAAAATAAAACAACTACAAGCACCAGCAGTCAAAAGTAAAACTTTTTCACTCTCCACTCAAATTTCCCACTCTTTTTAGCTATCAGCCAGCAAAATGTGCTAGAAGTTTAGTAGCAACAGCAACAGCATGCACACGCTGCTTCCCATAAAATTCAATAAAATTTATTGCGTACGCAGCTTCTGAAGACACTCTGCACCCTCCTCGCTCATTCATTTTGCTTCTTGATGGGGCTTATATGTACGACTTGTAGAGACTTGCTCCTTGACAAAGCCCTACTTGGGTGAAACACCTCATGGAGTAGCTTGCAGGGCAAAACCTGCCCATACACTGGAGTCTCATTTCCAATGCTACATTTTTTATAATAAACAAAAATGCAACACACAGAGTGCGAATACCCTTTTATCATAGCTGAAGATTTCAAATTAATTGGAGAACAATAATCATTGCATTGTATAATCTCTATTGATGGAGGATAATTGTTGGCACAGTAAGGGTCCATTCACACCAGATGCGGTGGGACTGTGCTGAGCGGTTATTCTAGCGCAGTCCCCACCGCAGGACAGCAAAATGCCTGGTCTCCTGTGTGCCCGATTCACATCACTGCATTGCGGTGGTTTGCAGGCACGGTGTACTGAAAAATAGTAGTGCATGCACTATTTTTTCAGCGCACCCCCTCGCACTGCACAGTGGTCAGATGAACGTAATGAAATGTCTGTGTGACATTTCAGTAAAGTTCATTATTAAAAAAAAAAAACAACGGTGATTCCTGCCAGACCGCACCACACACACCAGCTGCGTTTATAAAGCTGTGGCTTTTGTGACTGGACCCTTACACCCCAGTCGCATTGGGTGCAACTTGGAATGCGATTTGCATAACATGCGGCTTGCAAATCGTATGCCAAGTGACACCTTATTATCTGCAATTACAGCAGTCAAATCGGTGCGGTTCCAGAGCTGTACATGCACTACTTTTCATGTGATTTGCATAGACATCTGTGTCAAATGTCTTGCAAATCACACCTGAAATCAGCATGTCTCCTTTGAAATCGTGTGCGACTTCACTGTAAGTCGCATGATTTCAAAGTCGGACTTGATGTGACCGGGGTGTAAGGGCCTGTGCCAGTGTACTTTCGTTTGCATCAGAACTGCATTTTACTCTATAGAAGCCTTTAGGGATGAAAAAGCAGCATGAAGTTGCTTTGGTAGTCAACTGCACTTGTCAATGGACTGTGAATGATCTCAGAAGCATCTCAAACATATGTGAAATGCCAGTAAATGCATCTAAAAGCAGGTTGCATTTGCCCATTAACATACACCCTGAGGCTGTTTGGAAGATCATATCGCCTTGAAAATTGGGAAGCTGAAGAAATAGAATTTCTTTACTGTCCTAAACCAAATCATTAGTATAAACCTCATGACTGAAGCTTCCCAAAGTATAGTGATAGAATCATTCATATACCACACATACTCTTGACCCTAGATTTGCTGTTTTGTCTGGTAATATGTTAGGATCTGATGATGCATACACATACTTTACAAAGACAGTCAAAAGTGCAATTATTATAACTACTTTAACCACTAGCCTACAGGGCACTTATACCCCCTTCCTGCCCAGGCCAATTTCCAGCTTTCAGCACTGTCACACTTTGAATGACAATTGCGCGGTCATGCAACACTGTACCCATATGAAATTTTTATAATTTCTTTGAGACAGATAGAGCTTTCTTTTGGTGGTATTTAATCACCGCTGGGATTTTTATTTTTTCTTAAACAAACCAAAAACCACTGAAAATTTTGAAAAAAAAAAAAGTTTTTTCTTAGTTTTTGTTATACAATTTTGTAAATAAGTGATTTTTCTCCTTCATTGATGTGCACTAATCAGGCTGCAGTGATGGGCACTGATAGACTGCACTGATGGACACTGATAGGTGGCACTGATGGGCACTGATGAGGAGGCACTGGTAGGTTGCACTGATGGGCATTGACAGGCATCACTGATGGGCACTGAAAGGCAGCACTGATACATGACACATAGGCGGCACTGATAGGCGGCACTGACTGGCACTGATAGGCGGCACTGACTGGCACTGATGCACACTGATAGGCGACACTGACTGGTACTGATAGGTGGCACTGATTGGCAGCACTGATAGGTGGCACTGATTGGCTTTGATAGGTGGCACTGACTGGCACTGATGGGTGACACTGAAAGGCAGCTCAGATGGGCACTGATATGTGGCATTGATGTGCACTGGTATGCACTGATATGTGGCGTTGATGGGGCACTGGCACGTGGCACTGATGAGCACTGACAGGTGGCACTTCTGGTGCCACACTGATCAACAGGGCACATTGATCATCAGTGCCCTGATGATCAGTGTACATGTCCCGCGGAAAGCCGATTACCGGCTCTCCTCTCGAGCTGTCAGCGTGACAGCTCGAGAGGAGAGAAATGCCAATAACCGGCATTTCCGTGTTTACATGTGATCAGCTGTGATTGGACACAGCTGATCACATGACCGAGCCGACATCTTCGGCTCTTTCCGTGATCCACTGTGTCCGAGGGACACAGCGCACCAGCGATCGCCACGCTGCGCGCTCCCTGAGCCGGGCACGCGCGCAGTGAGAATGGTAGGACATCATAAGACATCCTATCAGAACGAGAGAACCACCTTGCGCCCGTCATTGTACTATAGGGCAGGCGGAAGGTGGTTAAAGTACACCTGTCAGTATTTTATTGTTGTCTTTGCTCTCCTTTGGTAGATTCACCTTCTCTATTTGTCCTATTTACTGTTCTCACTGGAAAGTGAAAGAAAATCCCAAATTTCGGGTTGTCACCAGAACAGGAACAGAGATGAACTCTTCCGATGGGGACACTAGTTCTGGTGACAACAAGGGATTCCCTCACTGTGCTGGTATTTCCTCAAACTTCTTGTCTTGGCAATGGGCCAGGATATGAAGGAAAACCTCCCCAATGCAACAGAGATGGCAAAAAAAAGCCCCACAACCTAACAGGGGCAGTAACCCTCCCTTACTTTATCCAAAATGGGGAACAAAAAAAAAAGCTTTTACTTTTTGTTCTCCTGAAACTTTGAACATTGTATGACTGATTTTTATTCCGGGGAGGGTATGCATGTAGACTCATTTCAAAGTGTGGCCGTGTAAGTAGAGTATCAGCTTTTCCAGGGATCATCAGGGCATACTACTTTATAACTGCACAGGTATGTAACCGTTTATACATTGTCTTTGTTTTAGTGACTTTGACTGCACATCCATCAATAGCGACGTGGAAACTAGAAGCCCTGTAAGAACACGGCGACATTCTTGGAGGCAGCAGATTTTCCTGCGCGTTGCCACACCTCAGAAGGGATGTGATTCTCCAAACAGATTTGATGGTAAGAATTTTAATTTGTGTGTACAAGAAAAATGTGCATGCATGACATATTTCATTCTGATCACTGTATGTAGCCGGCCTATGCAAATACAATATTTAGTATAATTAATCATTTTTTTTCTTATTTTTTTTTTTAAACTTTATACAGTATCTCACAGAAGTGAGTACACCCCTCACATTTTTGTAAATATTTTATTATATCTTTTCATGTGAAACACTGAAGAAATGACTCTTTGCTACAATGTGACGTAGTGAGTGTACAGCTTGTATAACAGTGTAACTTTGCTGTCCCCTCCAAAAAACTCAACACACAGCCATTAATGTCTAAACTGCTTGCAACAAAAGTGAGTACACCCCTAAGTGACAATGTCCAAATTGGGCCCAAAGTGTCAATATTTTGTGTGGCCACCATTATTTTTCAGCACTGCCTTAACCCTCTTGGGCACGGATTTCACCAGAGCTTCACAGGTTGCCACTGGAGTCCTCTTTCACTCCTCCATAACGACATCAAGGAGCTGGTGGATGTTAGAGACCTTGCGCTCCTCCACCTTCCGTTTTGAGGATGCCCCACAGATGCTTAATAGGGTTTAGGTCTGGAGACATGCTTGGCCAGTCCATCATCTTTACCCTCAGCTTCTTTAGCAAGGCACTGGTCGTCTTGGAGGTGTGTTTGCGTTTGTTATTATGTTGGAATACTGCCCTGTGGCCCTGTCTCCGAAGGGAGGGGATCATGCTCTGCTTCAGTATGTCACAGTACATGCTGGCATTCATGGTTCCCTCAATGAACTGTAGCTCCACAGTGCCAGCAGCACTCATGCAGCCCCAGAACATGACACTCCCACCACCATGCTTGACTGTAGGCAAGACACACTTGGCTTTGTACTCCTCACCTGGTTGCTGCCACACACTTGAGACCAAGATAAGCTTATCTGGTTCAGATGGTGTCATCAGACCACAGGACATGGTTCAAGCAATCCATGTCCTTAGTCTGCTTGTCTTCAGCAAACTGTTTGCTGGCTTTCTTGTGCATCATCTTTAGAAGAGGCTTCCTTCGGGGACGACAGCCATGCAGACCAATTTGATGATGTTTGCGGCATATGGTCTGAGCACTGACAGACTGACCCCCCACCCCTTCAACCTCATATGTCTATTTCCCAAAGACAACCTGTGGATATGACGCTGAGCACGTGCACTCAACTTCTGTGGTCGACCATGGCGAGGCCTGTTCTGAGTGCAACCTGTCCTGTTAAACCGCTGTATGGTCTTGGCCACCGTGCTGCAGCTCAGTTTCAGGGTCTTGGCAATCTTCTTATAGTCGAAGGCATGTTTATGTAGAGCAGCAATTCTTTTTTTTTTTTTTTTTTTTTCAGATCCTCAGAGTTCTTTGCCATGAGGTGCCATGTTGAACTTCCAGTGACCAGTATGAGAGAGTGAGAGCGATAACACCAAATTTAACACACCTGCTCCCCGTTCACACCTGAGACCTTGTAATACTAATGAGTCACGTGACACCGGGGAGGGAAAATGGCTAATTGGGCCCAATTTGGACATTGTCACTTAGGGGTGTACTCACTTTTGTTGCCAGCGGTTTAGACATTAATGGCTGTGTGTTGAGTTATTTTGAGGGGACAGCAAATTTACATCGTTATACAAGCTGTACACTCACTACTTTACACAGTAGCAAAGTGTCATTTCTTCAGTGTTGTCACATGAAAAGATAGAATCAAATATTTACAAAAATGTGAGGGGTGTACTCACTTCTGTGAGATACTGTAGATAAGATTACTGCTGTTTTGTCTTCTTCCTGGCAATTTTGCAGGATAGCTTAGTCTGTGTGTAAAGTGAAGAACATTATGTCATGTAAAAGAAGAGCAAAGATTTAATACACTGAATAATATTAGAACACGTTTTTCATGGTAGTAATCATATGAAAACTATACATTTGTAATGTTTTACATTTAAAGTGGAACTTCATTCTGTCAGTCAACATCGACTATTTTTTAATCCTTATGCTACTAGCATTAGTAAAAAGATAGGAAAGTATATAATAATTACTTGCTTTAAACTTTTTTTTTTTTTTTTTTTTACATTCCTTCAGTTACGTCCTGGTTTCCATGCCTAGGCAAATTATGTCATGCATTCCAGGAGGGAAGGAGGGACTTCCTCTGCTAAGCACAATCTCCTGTCTGCATGCCTGAGCTAAGGGCAGATGGATTCCAGGAAGTAAAAGCTACATAGATTATCTACTACTGCCAGAGATGCTAGGGGGGAGTTTTTCAAAGTGTTTTCTCCGCAAAATAAAGTATGGAGACAGACTGATGGGAAAGTTTGCTTTGAATATTAAAAATGAATTGCTCAGATGTGGTTGGTATACATCACTATCAGCGATCAGAAGGGACAGTTCAGATACAACAAAGCAAGACATGCAGCAAAACATTAACCAAAGCCACAAGTAAACATTTCTGCCTGAAATCCACACCAACAGTTGGGGTTTGTGTTCAAAACCCTTCTAAACTTTAAAGACTTATTGCAGACTGATTCTAAAATGTATTTCACAATCGAGGACAAGTTACTGTTCCAACTATAATGAGCATCCGTAAACTCGCATAATGCAAATTTTAAATGCACAAAGAGAAATCAAGAAGGCTCAAATCCTTATTACTACTGTAAGTTAGTGATATCCGTGTGTATAAGACTTAATAGCCATGGATAAATATGCCAAAATCAGAGCCTGATCTGAATGTTTGGATATTCTGCAGTCGAAGTTATAGGTATATGTTATAAAGGACAATAGCAATCACATAGCTATGGCTTAGCATAATAAGGAAAAGCTGTTCATAATGATTGTGGAGTCCTTGTTAAGTCATGCACTTGTATGAGCAAAGCCCCAAGATCAGTGAGTTTTAAATTGAATTTAAACAGTATGACTGTTGTCATTTGGGGTACTGGACTCCTTGTAAACTTATTAGCGATACAGCAAGTGGTAAACCGAAATCTGTAATTGCATATTTTTTTCCACCAAACTGGGAAAATTTATAAGAGCTGTAGGGCGTGGGACCCCTTTGTCATAACCTGTAGAGGGTCTGTTCAAATAGGGAATTTATTTGCAACCACTATTGCAAATACCAACCGTATTCATGTTGTGATCATAATTCATTATAGGAGTTATTTACTTATAGCTTCTATAGCTTCCTTTATAATGCTCTCCACATTTACATATTAGTTAAAGTGTTCAGCAAATGTGACATTGACAGCAGTTGAGATACAATGCCAAGGTTGCTTACAATAATCTCTTTATTCCCTCGGTTTCCAACCCTCTATTGTATTTGTTGTGTGGCCCTCGGATCCCAGCAGCCAGTAGGCATTGTTTTTCTGCATAGATGCTTGCTAAGACTTTATCAGTACATTACCTGATAGGATATACAAAATAACTCCTTTTTTCTCCTTCCAGGTTTTTGTTAATGGTTCTTGCAGTGAAAATATTAATAGCACCATATGGGGCCATTTTTTTTCCCTCTAATTTCAAGCAGTTGTGTAACAAGTCCCCTGTGTCTGACCACCTCCAACAGCACATTTCTAGTCTCCAATCACCACTGTATTATGTCTGCAGTCTCTAACCATCTCTTGTAGAATTTTCATAGTCTAACAATATTCTGTAGTTTTCAGAGATTGCAGTTGAGACCCTCCTATATCTTTTAGGAGCCTTTCACACCAGCAGACTCTGCCAAGCGGGTCTGTCCGAAGGCCCCGCTGTACAGGTGAATGACTGGTCTGTGTCTGCTCCACTTGTGCAGAGTGGACATGCACACAGCATGCTGTTCTCTATGGGGCGGTTGGATGTAAACATAAAGAAGTTTACATCTGACTGTCATCCTTTCTGATCCACTAGACCAGGGGTCTGCAACCTTTAAGACATAAAGAGCCACTTGGACCCGTTTCCGAGAGGGAAAAAAAAGACTGGGAGCCGCAAAACCATTGCAACATTTAAAACAAATCCGACACTGCATATATTGCAAAAAACGCTCTGGTCATGAAGGGGGTTTAAGGGCCCAGTAAGCAAAGGGTTAATCAGGGCCACAGTGTATCGTCATAATCACAATCATAGCCTTAGGTCAGTGGTGGGCAACCTTTTTTTTCAACTGAGCCAAATCTCGCCAAAACCACGATTGAAATTTATTTTGAAAGAAACATTTTT